GGGGGGGCGATCATGAATTGTGGTTTAAAATGGGGGAAGATGATTTGGATCTGGGGAAAGACCGATTGAATTTAGGAAAAGGCTAGGAACTCTCTGCGCCCCTAATCATGGGCATTTCGTAAATAATCGAAAAATAATTTTATGGGTGCACCGACTTTTTTGACGGTTCTCGAGCATCAATTATTCCGACCAGGCACTTTATTGCAATGACAATTTATTAACGTTGACGATAAACTAATGATCAGGATTCAAAGATAAAGTAGTGAAATATTTCGGTGGGATCAGGAAACGACTCCCTAATTTAAGAGCTGAAGAGGAATTTATGACGGTCACGAGCACCTTCTGGATATATTTTTGGAAAAAATGCGAGTTAGTCACTCTCTCATGGCAAAACTCGTTATAAGTTGAGAAATCGCAGAAAATTCTCTGAAAAAAAAAGCTGGAAAGAGATGGGAACATATGAGTTCCTTCCCTCAACTATAAGTTCTTCCAGAGCAGGCACATAGGTGGAACTAGAGGAAGCAGGGGTCCACCTCTCTCATATTAGGATTCCACTTGGTTTTTTTAGATCATGAAGGAATATTGCAAAATAATTTTGTGACATTTTTGTTATCTTTGAAATTTTGTGTTAAAATAAAACACATTGGATAGGAAAAGTTCTTACGCTGAGGAGAAAAAATTAACCTTAAAAAAGAAGAAAACTTAAGTATTAACGTCCATAAAAATACAAGAATTACAACATTATGGGTTACACATGGATTATATAGGTTCCCCTCTCTTCTACAGTTTGTTCTTTTCGAACATGTTCATTTCATCATTGGCATTCATAATTATTCGTATTCACTTAAATTCAACAATTAATTTACTAAAAATTGACTCCATGATAATGAATTATTAATTCATTTTTTCATGAAAATAATTCTTTCCGCACACGAAACAGCAACCGATGGAAAGGGAGATAATGGTGCGGGGTTATCAAGTGGGACAAAGCACAAATAAATACAAAAATAAATACATTAAATTTTACATACGTTAAAAATCAGTCCATTAACAGGCCAAATAATTAAGTACCCCCCCCCCTCCTATCCTATCCTCAGAGAAGATATAATATTCAGGCACCCAAATAGCACTCAGCATTGAATATTAATTTGATTTAACAAAATATGGCTTGCGAGAATTTACGCGGTTTGTAATAAGTAGTGTGCACTGACTCGGTGGGGACGGCGATAGAATGTAAAATGATGGCGGAACTGCCCAGAATATGAGTGATAATAACTAAGAAAGATATATGGTACATCTTCTTTCTCTCATTAATACTTAGATGTTTCGAATCAGGTACCTAATGTTACAAAATATTAATTAAGCGTGCACAGAAAGTGACAGACAGATGGATTGCATCCTCGTTTTCTAGAGGTCCGATAAAGTGTCCGAAAATAGTACGTATAATGAATTAAAATGCCAAATTCTATACGTCCCGGGAATAAGGTCCATCGGATGCTATAATGCTAGGGAATTCCACTGCACTATCATTTCAGTGACGCATAGCTGCAACTCGCATAGATTTCGGAACTGGTCATGAAACCGACTAGGTGCCTATGTTGAGTAGATACCTACAGACCTACACGTCTTATGGCGAAACGCAAAAGGGCGTATCTATTCGTTTCACCCGAAAATTCTCTACTATACTCTCTCTCTAAAACAGGATTACCTATATACCTAGCAGGATACTTAAGAGCGCTTAATAGACTTTATTCCGGCATTTATGACATGCATGTTCAAATCTTATCACTGAGGAAGAAGGTAAGACTACGTTTTGAAAAGTACGTCTTGGCACTTACACTTTCATTAGCGGCTCGATGATTTTTCACAGCCTCAAATAAAATAATAGAATCCATCTTTTGTGGATTCTTAGTTCAGTTTGGTTTCTCCCATTCCCGGTGTTTTAATTGTACTTCTGGTCAGTACATATTTTTCTTCCACTTTTTGGGGTAAAAAATAAGAGGAAAGAAGTATGAGTGGACAGAAACAGAGCCAGGGAAAGAGGATGAATGAATAATTCGCCTAATAATGACTGGTGACGAAAAAGTTGAGCGATTGGTTTAGCGTACCTAACCTAATTTGCAAAAACTCGTCTAGCAGAGTGTTTGCTCCGACATTTAAGAGTCACCAGTAGAGGAATCATGAGCTTAACAGGTTGCTCATCAATCATGATTTGGGGGGGAAAGTCCTGACCTCAGATCTTAACTTTTGCCTCACCCAATTGCATTACTTATATTAGGAAAAATGCAGCTTTAAGGTATCGTCTCTGGGTCCATTTTCCCATGGACGGTTACATAGAGGGCATCTTCGGTGAAAAAGCCTAGGATTTGCAATGCGGATAGGATTAGTCTTTCAAAAGGACGGCAGCGAAGCATCTTCATTGAACCAACCTGCAGGCCGACTATTGAAATTGATAGACAAAGCTATAGACAAAGAAGACAAAAAGGATATGGTAGGAGGACCCTATGGGGGTGGAAGCGGGTGGTTGCAATGGACAAAGGCAGTAGGTAATTGACTAACCAACGGGAACCCATGAAAGACCTTATGGTTAGTCCATAATTTTCTCCCTTAGTCTGTAGGCACCAACCATTCGAACCAGTGGGATTGCTCCATACTCCGTACATCTTCTTTGTCTATCGATTTCAATAATCAGCCTGCTGAGCTTAATACTGTCCCCTTGCCCTGAAACTTAGTAGGTACAGCTCATTGCAACTCCAGTTCTAATTTTTAGTGTTTTCTGTCTTTGGTTTCCCCGAGGGCTTTCCCGAAGATTAGGCGTTTTTACCGAAGATTAGACGCTTTTACCGAAGATTCCCTCCATTGTCCCCGAGAGTGGACGTTGGCTTCATAGAGAAAAAAAGGTGGTGTTTGCATTACGGGCATCTTGGAATTTTTTTGATGATTTGATGACGTAGGTCGGTACAGCGACGTTTATCCTGTCGATTTTCTTGGAGATGGTGTAATTTAAGGAAAAAATCATTCTATAAAAAGTGCTTGAAATTATATAATAAGTTGATTTAAGTAAAAAAATCGGGCATTACGGTCCGTTTTTCATATTTCGAATTCCGGATTTCGCCGGCCAGGTTATAGACGCTATTAGTGGCGACGTCATCATAGGGATTCTCCATTATATCGAATTGGATCCAAACAATAACATTGGCATACCCTCTTTCAATGCTACCAATGCGAAAAAATCGATAAATATCGCTTTTCTGTGACGTTGCACTAATAGCGTCTATACCGACCTACGTCACAGGGTAAACAAACCTTAAGATGCAAACACCTCCTTTTTTTTTCTCTATGCGTTGGCTTTACAGATCTACGGGTGAGGGTTTTCCGAGTTTCATCTGAGCTCGGACTGGGTGGCGTAGAAGTTGACGCCGTCGCGGTCGAGGATCTTCTCGGTGGCGTTGCGGCGGCCCTCGAGGTCGCGGATCCGGTGGACGATGACGATGTGCTTGTGGCAGTTGCCCAGGATGCGGAACTGCTTCTTGCAGATCTTGCAGCGGATCTTGGGCGGCTTGTCGCAGATGTACTTCTTGTGCGAGGAGAGGCCGCCGGCCGAGCGGAAGTCCTTCCCGCACTTCTCGCACTTGAGCACCCGCACCGGCATCATCGACTTGGTGAAGTTGGCGAACAGCATGTTGTTGTCGTTCATGAACGAGTAGCCCGCCGAGTAGTCCTCCGTGTAGTACGCGTGGGCTTGTATATCTGTAACAAGAGTCTCGCGTTAGATATGCCGACAGGGTGGAAAACCATTCAAAATATAGCTCGCAGATCGCGTTGGAAACACAAGACGGGTATGTCGATTCATCGCTTGAACTCCATTAAGCCCTGGATAGACGACCGAATTCCCGAACCGATTCCGATCGAAGTAGCATCAAAGTGTCGGGAGTCATCAGTCTTAAACTCATTGATTTGCTTCAATTTAAAATGAAAACTTGGCAGAAATGTTTCCTGTGGCAGGAAATGATGAATGGTGGCACTCTATTCTGATCTTACTTCGAACAAATAAGTACGGCCCGTCAAAATTTGATGGTAGATGGTGACCATCAGTCATCAGCATGTGTACTTTGATCGGAATTGGTTCGGAATTTGATCGTCTATCCAGGGCTGTAAGGAGCTCAATTTTCAAGTTAATTCATTGAAGTTAGTACTCGTCTGAACAGGGAAACTAGTGCTGCCGTGCTAAGGGAAAACGCCGTATGAACATTCGAGAGTTGTTAAATTTCCTTCGATAGAATGTTAATTGTTGAGGAAAGTTTTGAGTATTTTTCTATCAACTTTCAGGTACTTAGGGTGAAATTGCAAACAAAATCATCTGGAAAATCGGAAGAAAAATATTGATAAGTTTACTAGGAAATTCGTTTTTCATCGAAGATTTGACAGCGCCTGAAGGCTCATACGGCGTTTTTCCTTAGCACGGCAGGATGACACATTCGGTCCTTGAACAGGTCGGAAGTTCTAGTTCCTGATTGCAAAATTTAGTTCTTATCTGGCGCGCAAAAGATAAACACCGTATGAGCCTTCAGGCGTTGTCGAATCTCCGGGAAAACTTGTGGATATTTTTCTCCCAATTTGTAACAGAATTTCCCAGTCTATTCTGGTATCTGGAAATTTAAAGGAAAAATATTCATACCTCTCCAGTAAAATTAACACTTCATCGGAGGAAATTTGGCAACTATCGAATTTTCATACGGCGTTTTTCCTTAGCACCACAGTATTAGCGTCACACAGCCGCAAGTTCAGGCGGCTGCGACAGTCTCCGGCCCACTACTACTCCGGGCTAAGTCGCGGCTCTAAACCGGCGGAAGTGAGGCAAAAAAAGAGTTATAGGTTGACCTACCCGTCGTGAGTCTCCGAAGTTAACTCGTTTTTTTCTGTACAAGTAATGTAAGTGACAGGAGTGCAAGACAAGAGTGCAATAATATAGTGGTATATAAGGCCGATCTTTGGATCAACTTGAGTGTCCTCAGATTTTCCTAATTTTCTTAAACTCAATTTCACAATTCCCCCAATCTTCTCTTATATCGCTCTTCTGCATATAGGAGAAACTGTGCAGGCGAAGAGATCAATTCTGGAGAAATTAGCAGCAGAATAAGAAATTCCCAAGATTATCTTTCTACTGGCCTGATGCGAGTTAATTGGAGACACGTCCTTGGACGTCTTGGCCACATGTAGTAACTTCTACACGGGCTTTATTTAAGCTTTCCTGGAACAGCAATTGAAAGTTTGACCTAATTTTCTCGAAAAGTCATTTTGCCACGTAAGCTGCTTTCCCACCTACATTCTCATGGTTTCTGAATTCCTGTCGACTAAAAAGCCATGGAAATTCAACTTGTAAGCGCTGTTCAGTATGGTGCGGCCAGAAGTTTCCTGACAGGAGGCCCGAAAGGTGAAACTCATTCATAACATCCAAACAGTATGGTTTTTTTTGAAAAGAAATTATCACGTAAAGGGGAGGGGGTGGCGCGGATCTCCTAAGCCCATCTTCAGGCCTCCACAAAACTTTCGAAAGGAAAACTGTACTTGAAGAGGCGACTATGTATCCGTATTCATAGTCCGTAGTCTGCCTCGGAAACTATCTGCATGTTGGAATCATCAAGATTTCACCGAACTCAAGCCCCGAACAATAAGAAAAAATGAAGGACTATAGGCAAAGGGGCTTCGCGGCATTGCAACTTAACCGAATTCTCAGCTCACTTGTTTCATGTGGAAAATTCCAACGAATTTTCCTTAAACCGCCGGGAAAATTCGCTTTCTAGATTGGAGAAATATATTTTCGAGGGAAACAATGCTGGAACGCAATGAAGTTCAGCCCTTTTGGCCGAGATCCCTTCAAATATTAACGGCAAAAATTGGAAACCACGAAACTCATTTCATAACATTAACTTCGCGGGACACTTCATTTTTAACTTGAATTTTGAACAACGTAATTTTCCCACTCTATTCGGAGAGTAATATATAGAAATTTCAAGCAATGAAGCTTTCGTATCTTCTTTTAAAAAAATAAAACGACAGCGGAAATTTCGAAATGCGGCAATCGAAGAAATGACGATTCAATTAAGTTGGTGACACTATCTTTCTCTCCTTCGATCGCATGCTAAACAATCGATTCTTGGTGAGCCAATCAGCCTCAACAAAAAACGATACTTACACTGGATTTAAGTGGAGCAACGTGATTTCCGAGTTCAGCCATCAACATGAATGTTATCGAACTTTACAAGAAGAATTCCACTTGTCAGTGTTCCCTCAATTGATAAATGAAGATCGATAGGCGAGTAAAAATTCGCTGGAAATTGTACAATCCGTATCATAGGATCAAAGTAGAGCTCTCTAAGTGGTGTCACGTGACCCCAAGTGACGTCACTTCGGATCTACTTTGACGTATGATAAGAATGAGCTCCGATCCGTTTCTTTCATTGAAACTTGATGGAATTGTGCAGTCTTACAACATGCGGATGTATTCACTCTGGCTCGGGAAAGCAAAAGGCAGGAAATACTAGAAAAGCTTCTTAAAAAGCGGTGAGAGACAGTAGAAACAAGAACGGCAACCGCACTGATCACCCTGTGATAGTGGAAGATGAATGTACAGTGAAAGGAGTGTTCCATATTCTTATTTTTAAAAGGATTTTTTTGTTCTTTTTTCTTTAGTCACATAACTAGGTGCGACAGTTTTTGATACAGCGCAATTTTGACCCCAAGCCGTGTTTTGGAGGGAATTTAAGGCCCTCAAGATTTCAAAATAAGCGAACAGCTTAGACGACAAGTTTCGGAAGTCCGCAAATTCAGTGGATAGTCTCGAGTTCCCCAAATTTACTTCCAAAAACGAATCCTCCTTGCTCTGGGATCGAAAGCTACTTTAGTTTCGGAATAAAAGGTGAAAGTAGTTCAAATTTCGGTTTGCTTCTTCAAAAAGCATTTGTGCCTGAACACATTATGCATCACAAAATCTCTCTCTTGAATTTAACTCGAAATTACCTCTTTTTATTTTTAAGTTGCAGTCTCATCTAATGGAAAGAAAAATTACAATGGCAGAATGGAATTTCAAGGTTCAATAGCAAAAGCCATCGTCTTTGTTCTGACGTCTAACAATTGAGTAAAATTTTCTAACACTCTTTGAAATCGACTACTACTACTACAACTACTACATCCTGTGTTCTTCTGAGCACAATACTTCTTGTCTCTAGACGAGGATTATAGTCACGTAAGGCAGATACCTCTTAATTGAGTCTTAATGACAAAGAACATTAGTGATTCATAAATGCATGTTTTTTATTCTAATTATATTTGTACAAAAAATACAGGTCAAAAAGAATGTTTAAAGTTAGAGGGTAAAAACGTGAAAATAGGAATACCTAAAAGAATTAAGATTTCGAAGGTGAAGGTAAACTCAACACATAAATCTTCAAAAATGGAAAAAAAAAAATCACAATTTATGATAAACTATCACAATTCCAACGCTTGAATCTATACACACAATTCGTGACATTTACAAAGATAAAATATAATTTGAAAGAGGAAAATACAAGAGAAAAGAGAGGAGAAGGAAAAAAGTTTTAATAAAAGCTGCAATTGTTGTAGCCGAAGAGTCACACCTAATTTCTAGGCAGTCTTAGCTTGTTCATTGGGGTAGGTATTTACGTGCTACCTATAAACGTTCACGTTTCATTACGCTTTGAGCGATTAATAAGGATTACAAATAACAAGAGAGAGAAAAAATCATGTGCTTTTGTTGATTACTTCTAATTTCACTTCAACTTAATAATTGTTTGTTCTTAAAACTATAGATTAATTATCTGTTATTCCCTGAGCAAACTTCAATATACATATTCAGGGCACTAAGAATACATAAAAAATTCATAGACAGGGGTGAGGTGTGCTTAATGCATGACTTTAAAGTTACTGGGTCCACGAGAGGGGATACGGAAGTTTTCACAATTAAAGTCCGTTAAAAAATCGTTAGATCTGATCCTCACGATACGAAATTTATGCGTAGGTTGTTCACCATTCAGAACGTCTCAAAGAAATAAAATACAATTTTGAAATGCTCCCTGATTGAAAATTGAGTCCGACATGAACGAGCTTATGAGCAAATTAAGCTGAAAAAAAGTCTGAATTCTGGAAACGGCTCAGAATGTTGGCCTCCAAAATGCCTGAGTAGTAAATATGGGAGTAAAATCAGGAGAGCACTTTACTACAGGGCCCACATAGCTCCCAAAAACCCAAGGAAAATTAATTCGGAGTGAAATTCGCTCCATAAAAGAGTTGATTTCGCTCCGTATTCGCATCTTCCGAGTTGACTAGGAGCTGCATGTATGTATAAGTGAAATGCGATTCGGATTTAACTGGGATATTTCTAACATTAAACTTACGATCAGTCGATTGCGAAGGTCACAGAATCGTGTTTTGATGCTTGATTCTTGTAGATTAGGTAAAAATAATAATATCTGTCCCCATCAGCCAACTTCCTACGTTCAATATTAACCGAGATATCGTACTTTAAAAAATTCGTTTCACGACATATCCACAGCGATAGTGATACCCTTTGTTTCTTCCACCTTGCTTTCATCCAGGTCTCACGTTGAGTAACCAGTGCATCAATGACTGATGAAAGCAAGGCGGAATAAACCAAGGGTGCCACTGCCGCAATGGATGACGTCATAAACCGAATTTATTAAAGCGCGATATCTCGGTTAATACTGAGCGTA